TCACAGCATTTTCAGCTGCCCTTCTCTCACAGCCGCCTTCATTAGTTTTTCAAATGTTATTAATTCAGGGAAGTGATAATGTTGTTGGACCTAAACAATTTAATCATTATCGGGCCTTCCAGATCCTTTCCGCTTCTGTGAAATAAGAACAAACGAAGAACTACCCGTGTGCATCTTAGACCACAAAAAAAAAAGGCAAATGCCTTAATTTTTTGATCAAAAGTTAGTTTTGACTTGACATTGTGGTAATGTTAAATATCACGATCACAGGTAACTATAAAAGCTTGTGGCCACTCATTTTGGTAAACGAAGCCCTGAAGTAAAAATCTAGATAGAAAGAAAAAACTAGTGAAGCCATTGGAGTGGCAATATTCACCATATTCCCTCTTTTCTTTCATGACACTTTCATGTAAAACAGAGCATTTTTTCACACTCGGATATTTGAAAATCAAAAAATGTAAGATGATGCTATTTTGTAACTCCTTTGCACTACATCAAGTACGTATCACAGGGAAACTTAAACACATTGTGGTCAAATAGGATATTAAAGTCACAGCATTAACCGCACAACCCAAGCAAGTTTAGTTTAACCACCTATGAACTGTACTTATAATGCTTTTAGTCTTTTATTTACATTTTTATTTATGATAAAGATTTTCTACACTTCACCTGAGCAAGATATCCAGTTACTTCACCATGGAAACCAGCCATCACCAGGCATCAACACATTTGAATTTGAATCTAATAAAAATTTGCAATGCCTAATGAAAGTCTATGTAATTTCAAATTCTGACCAAAAATATTTTTCTTTCTTTCATGTGTCTTTACATTAAGAATACAAACTCCTGATATTCAAGAAGAAAATCTGGAGGAAAATTAAGAACTCAAACTGCAGTATCTGAAAACGTAGAGCAAACCACAGATCAGATTAATCAAAAGCAGTTTTCCTGTCAATGCTGCCATTAACATTTCACTTTTAAGAGCTAAATTAAAGAGCTTGCCTGATTGATAAAAGAGCTTTAAAAAATATTTTTAAAACTCACATTCTAAAATCAGCACAAGGGACTACATTTGCACAATTCACTGTTTTATGAAGGTTCAACAACACACTTTGTCTCTAAAACATTCCTAGCAAAGGAAAACAAATCTTTTGAAAACTTTCCCCGCTCCCCAAAACCTGGGTGAAGCATTTACGTGTTCTCTATTAAGGAAACGACTCGCATCCACTGGTGACTGGTTTGCATAGCCAAACATTTGACTATATAGTTTGGTGGTAGCTAATTGACTACCTGCTACGTACCTACACATAACTGATCAGATGAGCTTAATCCAAGATATTATGAAAACCAGCTTCATTTGACTACATTTTTGAGGAAGACAAAGGGTAAAGGAATTATGCACTGAGCAGCTTTGTAGTGTCCACAAAATTCAAATACTTTCATAAAGACAACTGAACTTGAGTAAACACACGCTTACATAATACACCATGTTTTTCCACAGCTACCAGCATAATATGCCCTTAATATGTTCACTCTGATTCACAAAGGACAAAATAAATCCCCATCAATAAAGGATTAAAAATGGCGCAGGTCAATTCCTGTTAACTTTAGCAAATATCAATCAACACTTTGCCAAAAATAATAAAAAATCCTTTCCAATATAGCATGCGTGCTTCCATTTAAGTTTTAAAGCCCTTCTGCTGCTTCCACCCTGGAATATGGAGCTAAGATAACGCCTAAACTACTCATCAGATGAAAATTTATCTTTACTCCTTTCACAGCTTCAGGGAAGAAACTACAGTGGACACTTGCCTTATTCATATTTATTAACTTTGTAAAAACTCTAACTTTAAATCTTCTGTTTTATAGAATTAGACCACATTAATCACCCAGGATTTTTTTTGGTAAAAATTGTAGAGTCTTAATTGAAGTAATGAAAGGCAACATAAAAATTATAAAAGAAATTAAGAAACTTTTTTTTTTATATGTATCAATTAGATAAACCATCAAGGTAGTGTAACTAAACCAAATTCAAGAATAATTTTTAAAAGTAAAACTATTACGGGGGAAGCACTCCACAGACTCTTAAAGGAATGTTTAAAGGGCTGCAAAGAGAAAAATGCTTGCTTTGAAATTTGCATCACTACTGAGATGTTCTGCTTACATTTTGTAGAGAGCTGTAAAACAACCAAAAAAACCAAAAACCAAAAAAACCCCAACCAAACAAAACCCCAAAACACAGATCTGAGTCTAAATGTGAATCCCATCCTTACTCAAGTTCTTGGAATTTCAGTCATAAATTCCAATTAGAGTATGATTTCACCCACAGGAAACCGGTATTTTCAAATCCACTTATTTTAAAGGATAATTTTCATAATTAAATGCGTATTAGTTAATTTGCATGCAATTTAAGAATGCATATCCAAGTATATCCAATATGTCACAAATATATGTAAATTAGTTGGTCATACTGTGCCATCAGTGAAGTTTTTGCATTTTATCAGGGATCTCTCTTTAAAGACTCATGATACAGCACAGTCATTTTCCCACATTTTGCATGTGATGTATTTGAAATGTATCTTCACTGCTTTTTACGGCAAAGATTACATGGCTAACATAATCCAAAAAATAACACATGTAATTAATCTTGCAACACTAAGGGCTATGTCTTTAATAGCTCATTACCATCCATATTGTCAAAAACCCTAAAATTGCCTCTTCCCTCATTCAAAGGAAGAAGGGTAACCTTTGTCACGTTTTAGAATGTGCCAAAATTTACCCCAGAGGCGACATCTAAGCACTGCCTAAGTCAGCATTTTTTCCTCTACAACTGTTTTTAAGTACGGATGAGAAAAACACAAGTCTTGAACGTCTACTACTAAACACTGTATTGGTTCCTCTGGCTTAGAAGGCCTTAATTAGAGAATCAGTAATGCTTAGAAAAGGATGCATAACTGATTGCTATCCAAGTACTTATTTTTATAGTCATCCTTCTCCAAAAATACTAAATGGGTGAAAAGTTATTTCAGCTGGAAATGTAATTTTACTTTAAGTTATCATTGACTTAAACTGGAGTAGCATCAAGCCCTGAAGCACAATAGCACTTTTTTTTTTTTTCCCCAATCTGTCTTGCTCATACATCTTCCTGGAGAGAAATAACATACTAAACCAACAAAAATAAAATAAAATAATTTAGCCAGACTATACCTTTTACAGAGAACAGGAGAGAAAAGGCGAAAGCGACACATAAAATATATTTACTTCTAAACCAGCACTTGATTTTTCTTCTTTTAAGCTTCTAAGAACTTTTTTTTTTTTTTAATTAGGGTTATTATTTGACACTCTTTCAAATATTGTGATTATATTGTCAGAAATCCTACTAATTAAAAAACAGTTATTAATTTTCTTATTTTAAACCAAAATGGACTTTAAATGGAGATTTGAAATGAATTATTGCTTGTTTCACAGTCCACTGGTTTCTATTCTTTTTCCCCTCCAAGAAGAATTTTCCTCTCTATAAAATACCAAACAGTGAGTCAAATGTGATTAGATACAATCAGCTTCTGTGAAAAAGAAAGAATTTTGTAAACAAACAAAAAAAAAGAAAATCAGCAGCTAGTTTTCTTTTATCCCAGAAACTCAAAAAAACCAGATGTACTGTAGAGAAATGCAAAGGATATATGCCACCACTTATTTTAGCCACACGTATAAGAGTCAAAATGCAAGCAAAAAAACCCCCCAAAACCACCACACAAAATGAGCAACAAATGCCTCAGAACTGCAGTACCTGCATAAGACAAATATCTCATGTCAAACTCGCGTTCCATTTCTAAAAAGAGTTTCTCATTTTCACCAACTTACATCTACCAATTGAGCAATTATGCAATATGTGGGTGTACCTTGCAGTCGTTTTCTTAACATCTGCATTCTGTGTTAAATTCTAACTGTACAAGATGTCTGATATTTTTTCTTTATCTTGAACCTTCAAAGTGGTAGGTTTACCAGAGGCAAAACCACACACCAGAGAATATGAGTCATATAATAAAGAAACGACTCTTCCCCTTCTCCCCCTTCCACCCTGAAGCTATAATAACCTAAAGACACTCTATTGTAAATGGCTTCTTTGGTAATATTGATAGCATGAACAACTCGCAATCATTTTCAGCCAATGAATGAAGATTTTTTTAGTCCTTACTGTATTCATAACAAATTGCTCTCGGTATCATTTAAAGCTACTGCAAAAATAAAATTCTTTATAATATTCAGAATGTCTATGCACTTGCTTTCATGCCATGCATAAAACATGAAACATTCTATGCAAGTTCCTATAAATAATAACATAAAAAGATAAAAATAATCAAACATAAGATGCCTGTGCAAGTTAAAGCAAAAGGTATCTCTCATTTGTCTACAAAAGAGTAGCCTCTATACAGAAATCCTTAATTTTCTAATGATTCCATATCAAAAGATGGCAACAAGTAAACCACTGCTCATGCCAACTACAATAAACACATAAGGAAGCAAACCACGTTACTTGACCACTGTTTATGTGAGTTTCCACTGTGAAGTGCAGTAAGTATGGAAAATACCACTGGGGCCACTCTATCCTTTTATTTCCTTTTATATCCTTTTCTGTAGATAGACTGTAACTCCTCAGACTGACATCCTGCATCTAATTCCATGTAGGAAACCAGCTTTCAACAAAGTCTTTTTTGAAGTGGTCATATGTATAATTATATCCGAAATTTTGAAGAGAAGAACTAAATGCAGAAACAGCATTTACAAACAGCAGCAAATAAATTGGTAACAACAAAACCTTGCACCACTAAAACAGGTGCAACCACCACAGCATTTTAAGAAAGTTAACCTAGTAGTAGTACTGGCATAAGCTCTTCCCACGACCATCTTCCGAAAAGTAAAAAAACCCAATGTTCCAGGAAATCAAAGAGAAGCAACACATTCCCCCTTGAAGCAGAATAAATCAGTGGTTTCTATTCTTACCTGTGTATAGTCAAAGTCAGAAAGCGGAGCTATACTCTTGATGTAGTCCATTCGAAATTGGTTTTCTGGGTTGGCCAATGGAACTGGGGGTATTAAAGTGCTCATAGCTGAAACTATAGTCTAGAATTGGATAAAACAAAAACAAACACATTAATCTGGATAAATCTAGGATACAGGATCAATAGAAGATAATCCAATCTGATCAGCAAAATGGGATTTCTCTCAGCACAATCTTGGAGAGCACAATCCTTATCATTTCCAGTACACCAAAGCATTTAAGAATAGTATAAAGTGTGTTCTTACCACAATCGCATCTTTAACATTTTTCCGAATATCCAGTATTTTCTGTTTCTTTTCTCTGCATTAAAACAGAAATATTAACACTTTGATTTTTTCTTCCAAAGCAGTTTGGTCAGTTGCATTTAATTTTTTTTTTTTTCACTGATCGCTTGTTTATCTGCTCTTCAATCATTACAACATGCTAACTGAAAAGTACAGCAAGGCAAATCTGATTTTCCCCTTATCCCTTTCCTTGCATAGCATGAAAAGCAAAGCACATTCATCCCTGATATTTTTTTTTTTTAAATCGGACTATCACAGCCACATCTGCAAAGCCTCCCCTGATGGAACTGGAAGTCATTCTTTCATTTCAACAGCATGCTGTAAACATGCTCTAAATTAACAATACGTAGTTGAAGGCCAACAGATACCTAAAATTAACGTTACGGATTAATAACAATTTCTGGCAAAGAGTTCTTCAGAGGGAAAATGATGCAGCCTCAGAAAACAATTATTTCTAACAAACGTGCAAAATTAGTTTCAGTTTTACTCTAACCCCAATACCGGAAAAACAGCAGCCACTGTCATCCTGACTACGACCTGACATGTATTTTTACATTACAGACAGATGCAATATTTAGTTATTTGCTTGTATGTAAAAAGTAGTCGCCATGTTGTTGCTACACAGGGGCCTGTCAAGCGCTGCAGTAGCAACAGTGTAAAATACAGTAAAGGGGGCCAGAAGGAGAAAATGCAAATATACAATAGCAGTAATTCCCTTATTCTCGCTCCCCTCCCTCCCCTAAAACGCAGTGTCAAGCCACCAAAACACAGGGGACGGGAGCCGAGCCTACCGTGTGTTAACCTGTTTCCCATATTTAACACAAAACAAGTCACAAAAGTGTCAGTAATTCTTACTCTGAATTAAATCCATTGACATGTAGGATTCGCATTTGTTTCACAATAGTGCTTTTTCCTGACTCACCAGCCCCTAAAAGAGAAAAAAGGAGAACATTGTGACACACGGTTCAGGCTGTGGGGTTTGGGGTGGGTTGGCGGTGGGTTGTTTTTTGGTTTTGGTTTTTTTTTTTTTTTTCGGAGGCGAACAGCATCTCCCACCTCCGGCAGCCTCCCTGCATGTCCGCATCCATGTGGCTCGGGCGAGAGAGCTCGATCTCTGGACTGGAGCCTCTCGTTGGGCTCCCTACAGCCGCCCCGCATCTCTCACCCCCGGGGCGCAGACACCCCCCGTCCCCCCTGCCCGCTGCTCCCCGCCGCCCGGCCGGGCTGGGG